TCTCCCCTTTCCTTTTCACTGTCTACACCTCGGACGTCACACACAACACATAACACTGTCACATCTAGAAGTTCTCCGATGACACAGCCATTATTGGATGTGTATCTGAGGGGAACGAACTGAAATACAGGGAGGTCATCAAAGACTTTGTCAGCTGGTGTGAGCTCAGCCAGCTTCAGCTTAATGCCAGTAAGACAAAGGAGATGATGATTGACTTCAGGAAGAAGACATTACACACCACACCAGTGAACATTCAGGGTACCATATTTTATCTTATTCTATTTATCTTTTTTACTTTTTAATTCATAGTATCCATGATATGGACCTATGGTGTATATAGCTCTTACTATTGATAGTTTACTTATTCTCTTTTCTTCCGGTCACTTTTTTGTGCTTTTTCTTGTATTCATACTGCTGCAACAATGTGAGTTTCCTCATTGTGGTGAAAAATAAAGTGCAATCTAATCTAATCTAATCTAATCTAATGAGTGTAGAGCCCTGCACAGCAATTTGTACAGGAATGTGAAAGTTCACCTACCTTTTTCCCATCGAAAACGACTATGAAAGAGATTCTACAGGGACACTTCTAGCAGTCAGACTACACAGGAAGGTGTGTACCACCCTGCAGTAGAAGATGGCCTTATATGTGCTAAAATGTCTGAGATCGCTCTGAAAGTGATCCCAACGATATCGTTCATAGATATAAATATAAAACATAGATATAAACATAAATACAAGTGCTTTTACTGTGTTTGAGCTACATGCACGTCGTTACTTTCATTTCTCTGTAAACAAGCACAACTCTAAAAAGGACACATGCAATTTGTTCGCGCCCGAAGCGCTCTGGCCGGAGCCCTCTGGCCGGAGCCCTCATTGGGCTCATAAGCAGCCGCCGGCAAAGCAGCTGGGTGAGTGATGAGCATGTGAGACGCTCATTTTATCACTGACTGCATAGACTCCAGTACCCACAAGAAAACTCTGAAGAGGCAGCCAGTAAGATACAACTTCTGAGGGCTGTTTCGTTAAACGCTACGAAGTTTCCACGCGGGACTGTAGCGTGCCGTGAACTTTGCTCATGCTGGTTGCCTGCTTGGACATTGAAATGTTTGCACAGAGGTGCATAATATTAGCATAAATAAATATTCTTGGAAATGTGGGTTTGTATTTGTTTGCAGGGTTACGTTTGTGCGTTAAAAGCTAAGAGAGAAACGTAAATATGGCATGTATGCACAAGCAATTAATATTCTGCATTAAAGGTGCAATATGTGTTTGTAGCATTGGTTACATTTTTACGCAAAATAAACAAAGAATATGGTTATGGATGGGTGGAGGCTAGTTGGTTAAATTAAATCTCTGTATACTTCTCATTAATTTTATTGGTGGTAAGACTGTTAGGACATTTCTTTCACTGTAAATAATGTGTATATTTTCTTGGTGTGTGTTTTGAAGGTTTTTTACCNACTGTGCCCTCCAAAGTGGTACAGTGTTTTTCTAACAACGAAACCTGGGTGACCCCTGAGATGAAAGCCCTTCTGAATGAGAAGAAGAGGGTTTTTAGATCGAGGGACAAAGAGGAGCTGAGGGGAGTGCAGAAGGAGCTTCAGCTAGAGATCAGGAAGGGGAAGGAGAGCTACAGGAGGAAGCTGGAGGAGCAGCTGGTGCAGAACAATGCCAGGGATGTCTGGAGAGGACTGCACTGTTCTTCAACAGATTTGATTCTGCCCCCTCACCATCTCGCACCCCTCCACACCTTCTCAGGCCGGCTCCCCCTCACCTCCTCACCACACTTCCCTCTCAGTCATCCTCCACCACCCTCTCACCCCTCCTAAGACTCTCTCCACCCTCTACCCTCATACCCCTCCTCAGTCATCATCCACTCTCCCTCTTCCTAACTGCTGATCAGGTGAGAAGGCAACTGAAGAAGATCAAGGCAAGAAAGGCTCCGGGTCCAGATGGCATCAGCCCCAGATTGCTTAAGGACTGTGCTGACCAGCTCTGTGGGGTGGTCATGCGCATGTTCAATCTGAGCCTGAGTCTAGAAAAGGTCCCGTTCCTGTGGAAAACCTCCTGTCTGGTCCCAGTGCCAAAGACGGCACCACTCGGGGAGCCTAACCACTTCAGGCCTGCCCTGACCATGGCGAGGATCATCCTGAAGCACCTGCAAACCCTGGTGAGCACACTGATGGACCCCCTACAGTTTGCTTATTGGCCTGGCATCGGGGTGGATGACACAGTGATCTACCTCCTGCACAGATCACTGTCCCACTTGGAGAACACTGGCAGCACTGTTACCCCTTTTCCACCAAACTGGTTCCAGTGCTGGTTCGGAGCCAGTGCCTGACTTAGCACCAGTTCTTTGTGTTTCCACCGCCAAAGCACCGGTTCCAGGCTCTCAAAACTGTTTTTTTTCAGGCACCAACTCTGGGCTAGAGAAAAGCACCAAGTCTATCGGGGCTGGGGGTGGGGTTATCGTGACCACCGGGACCAATCACCACAAGCGGTGATTTGTGTTGTTTTTCGCCAGGATGTCTCTGTTCTGATCACAGATGTATTGGAATGACTCCCGGGACACACCGAAGTTTTGCACAAACTGCTGCACAACTGTGTCCCACCAGTAGCACCACAGTGGTGGGAAACAGTACTTTTAGAACTTCAGTGTACTGTGGTATTTACGCTAAGAAATGCAGTCTTCTCATGAAAACCGGAGCACTGTTTATTCCACTCATAGAAAATACTGCATGAGAAAAATCACTTGGTTTCATCTTAGAAAAATCTAACATTAGAACGCCCTAGTTTACTCTTTTTAAAGTAATTTTTGGTCACACACCGGTCTGAGCACCGCAGCCACCAGCAGCAGCTACTGCAGCCTGCAGTGTGGGATGTTAGAGGAACATCGGTAAATTGTAAAGTCTATCGATAAGAAAATTTTTAGCAAGTCATATGTTTTTCCTGTGACATGGTGGGAAGTAAAAAAAAAAAAGTCTGGAGTCCTGTGTGGACTTCGTGTGGCACAAGCGTTGTTTGGTAAATGGCTACGTATGCAGGGACGTATGCCGTGGCTATAACTTGGCTCCTTGCTGATGGAAAAGCAACCGGTTCTTTGGATGTGCCAGATTTGAACCAACTAAGCACCAGCCCTAGCACCGGCACAGAATTGGTACCTGGTTCTGTGTGGTGGAGGGGTAAGAGTGACCCTCTCTTACCCCTCCACCACACAGAACCAGGTACCAATGTTTTTTGACTTCTCAAGTGCCTTCAGCACTATTCAGCCATCACTGCTGAGGGTGAAGATGGAAGAAGTGGGAGTGGACCAACATCTGACTGCATGGACA